ATTTGGGTACCCAATACCCAACTTGTTTAAAAGTAATTCAAAATAATAAATACAAGATTCAATACACATATGTCCAACAATTTGTATTTGGACATGTGTTAATAATTCATTCATTAATTTGTATTCAAAATTCTCATATATATATATATATATATATATATATATATATATATATATATATATATATATATATATATATATATATTTTAATCAATTTTTTTAATTTTTATTTAAAAAAAAGAAACTTGAAATAAAAACTCATGCTTATTTTACTTTTATAACAGTAGTTAAATTTGCTCAACTTTTATAATAATTTATTATGCCTTTTAAGAGTATGTTGTTTTCCTTCTCTTTTTTTTCTTTGGTTGTTTTCAAGTAGCTACTTGCTTTTGTTTGTTAATATTTCGTGTACGTATAATATTGTACAAATTTTTTTTTAACCTTTTAGCATTATATAATTTCAGATACTTCAAATTTACAAACAAAAGCTTACTTTGTATCAGCCTAATTTTTCAATAATTCAAAATAATGCGATCTCGATGTGATAAAAATGTCAGAATAGTTCATGAATTCTCCTCTCATTTATTTCTTAAAAAGTTTGGGATTTTCCTTAACAATTTTTTGGGGACCAATACCAGTTTTACAAGCATATAATATTTTATTCTTTATATCATAGTTGTGGTAATTCTAAAAGATTAATATGACCATAGCATCAAGTATGATCCTAGATGATTCTAATTAATCAGGTGATGAATGATCTAACTATATCAAATCAATAAAAAAAATACCTTCTAATATATATTATATGTATATAGATCATGATATTAACTTCGAATCAATATAGTTGATTTGTTGATTCTATTTTGTTTTGATTAATTATGGCAATTTGGGTATGGCTAGTCCAACGATTTCATTTCGTCTAAAGCAAATACCTCCAATCTTCAACTTCATGAGAAGTTTGGAATCATCAAGACAATTAATTTTTCCTCTTAATTACCGAGCCCAAAAACCCGAATGTAGTAATGTCTTCGGTCATTTAATAAGTTTTAATCAATTAGTAGTATTAAAAAGTATAAAGTAAACAATTTTTTTAGCTAATCTATTTAAATGTACAATTTATTATCTAAAATTCACAATACAAGCAATATAAAATATAATTCTATTTATGATGTGTTTTCAGGGAACTTAAGAAGTGAGTGTGTGTGAAAATACATTTATGTATGTGAAAATATGTTTATATGTGTGAAAAAAATCATTTTTGCATGTTAAAATGTATATGAAAAAGTTTATATATTAAAATGTATTAATTAATATGTTGGGTCATATTTGAGTTATGAGTTTGAGATAACCCAATATGATCCAACCAAAAATCAACATAATCTAAAGTTGAACGGATTAAGTATAATTCATTTAAATGAAAATTAAATATTAACCGCGCCCAAAATTCGTTTAACCCTCCCAATTAGACATCTTGGGATCTTAACATCAGAGGGACCTTTAAGTCACTGAATTATTTAGGGATTTGGGATGTGCACTTGGGATTCGATCTAGCCATGTTCGTGCCCAAAAATGGAGGATGTGTGGTGACATCTTGGGATCTTAAACATCAGAGGTACCTTTAAGTCACTGAATTATTTATGAATTATTTAGGGATTTGGGATGTGCACTTGGGATTCGATCTAGCCATGTCCGTGGTTAGTGTGTTCTGAATAAATTAACTGATTTTAAAGTAGTTAGCCATCAGATAGAGTTTTAATGCTTTTTTTTTAGTGCAGATCAAGAGATTAAATTTCTCTGTTTTTTTTTTTTTAAGAAATTTTTGAAAGTTTCACCAACAAATACAAAGTATCCGTTTGATTATGTGGTGGTTCAATCTCACTTTGAGCTTCATCCCCTGTGGTATAAAATTGAAATAGATATAGAATAAAAACTATCATATGGACAAAAAAATATTCTATACAAGTTTAAATATAAATACAAATAATTAGATTTTTTAATAAAAAAATATTCAAATAGATTCGGCTCTAATCACCAACTCAAGTTAGAATATGCCTCAAAATGATTTATAGGAACAATTTGTCACCACCCCAATTGAAAAATCTATGTAATTACTGATTAAAATACAACTGAACCTTCCCATTCCCAATTATTTTTGCACCGACAACAAATATGAGCTCATATATGCATTTATGAACTTGACCAAAAAGCCAAAAAAGCATCTATTTTTGTTTTTGGTTATAAAAGAACATCTTTCCATCACATACCACACAAATTCTCAAACTGCACCAGCCAAAGCAAAATGGCTACACCCGATGCAGTCACCGTGCTTAAGCATTCTTTAGTGTCGCCACCGTCGTCTGCGGCGGCCACTGAAATGTCTCTTCCTTTAACATTCCTTGATATGCCGTGGTTGCACTTTTCCCCCATCCAACGCCTCGTCCTTTATGAGGTACCTCAGCTCTCTAGAGCCCATTTCATCGAGCACACCATTCCTAAGCTTGAACATTCACTCTCCTTGACACTCCAACATTTTCTTCCCCTAGCCGGGAATTTGATAGTTCCTTCCAATTCAAATTCTGGCACGCCCAAAATTCGTTACAAAAATGGAAGTTCACTAGCACTAATCATTGCCGAGTGTACCACGACTGATTTCAATTATCTTACAGCAAACCATTCACGGAATTGTTGTGATTTTCATCCTTTGATTCCTGAATTGAAACCATCTACTGAGGATGATTCCGGATCCACAGCCAGGACTACCCCAGTTCTTGCTCTTCAGGTTACATTATTTCCAGACTGTGGAATGTCTATTGGAATCTCAAATCACCACACTGTCGGAGATGCCGGCAGCATTTTCGGATTTATGAAGACGTGGGCTGCTTTGAGCTCCAAATTTTTTGAAGATAATATCGACAGAGATGATGCTGCGGCAACTCTAGTAAGTTATTCTCCACCATGTTACGATAGGACTATGATCAAAGACACAAAGGGACTTGGCTCAATTTTTTGGGACCAAGGGGTCCTCCTCATAAAGCTTTTTCAAAATGAGAGTTCTACTGATACTACAGCAAAACCTATGACCAAAAAAGTTCGCAGATCTTTTGTTATTAGCAGAAACAATATTGAAAAACTCAAGAGCTTAGCCCTGCAAAAACGGCCACAATTAGTTCATTTATCATCATTTACGGTAATTTGTGCCCATGTTTGGACTTGCTTGGTAAAATGTCGTGGTCCAAGTGGAGAATATGTGGATGATGAAGAGGTGGAATACTTTTGTTGCGCGGCTGATTGTCGACGACGTATGGATCCACCTTTGCCTTCCAACTATTTTGGCAATTGCCAAACACTTGTTAGGACAAATGAAAAAAATGGAAAGTTAATTGGAGAAGAAGGATTTCCAATTGCAGTTGAGTTAATCGGGGAGGGCATTCATCAGAGATTGAAGAACAATGATTCACTCTTCGATGATGCTGACAAGTGGTTGCCGGATGCTGCGGGTATAAATATGGACAGGCTTGTTTCCGTGGCTGGCTCACCAAGGTATAACTATTACAATCTGGATTTTGGATGGGGAAAGCCTAAAAAGTTTGAGTTCATATCGATTGAAACTTCAGGGGCCATTTCTCTTAGTGGGAGTAGAGAATCAGATGGAGATATTGAGGTTGGTTTATCCCTTTCCAAGCCAAGAATGGATGTTTTTACGGTTATTTTTAACGACCAGCATAATTCTCTGTAAAATTCTACTGTAAAAGTCAATTTTGGGACGCTTGTATGTCGTTTCTGGTTTTTGGTTGCTACGTACTAGTAAGAACTTTATTTGTTGGTACTACCAATTGTGATAATACAATGAGATTATTCACTGATTTCTTGAATTATTGAAGATCTTGCGCAATGCAAGGAGCAAATATGTCATGTATAGCTAGGAAGGGTAATTGATCTAGAATAAGACTTTTCAATGAAAAATTTTATTATTCAGTGAGCCATGGTACATAGGAAAAAACATGGATCGGAAGCCTCTACTATCGGTAGCGGCAACAATAGGATACTGTATAGACAATAATATAACAAATATTGATACTAATATAACATGGATATAACATGGATACTAATATTGTTAATCGTCCATATGCTCATAAGCTATTCTTTGCGATGCATATTTGAAATTTTCTTTTAATACCCCGACAGCATCTTGTTACCAACCATTGAAATAGATACATAAACATGAGGATCGAGCAGCGTTTGACCATGGAGGGGGAGATTGGAATAAGTCTATCATTTGCAGGTTTCCCTAGATCTAATGGCTAATTACTCATAATATCGATGAAAAGAAAAAAATTCGGACATGTATGGATCTAACAAAGGATAGGTATCAAACTATGGTTGTCGGGTTGACGGAGCAAAAGAGTTTTTCTATTATTTTTTTAAAGTCTGACACCGCTGCCGGCTGTGTCAAAACAAATTTTTTTTTTTTAAAAAGATTCTGTTGACTCAGCCGGTAGAATCTGCACAAACTTTAAAAAGCTGGCTGCGGGCTGAGGCAACCAGTCCAATTTTAAAAAAAGGGATAATTTGGGAAACCTCCCTGAGGTTTCTGACACTTACACTGAGGCTTCCTGAAGTTTTCAAAATTTTACTGACCTCCCTTACTTTTGAGTTTTTGGTAACAAAGCAGTCCAAATCATATTACAATATTATTTTCATGTGTGAGAAGGTATTTTTATTCCATTGCTGCCTTTTTGCTCCTTGTATTAGTAGAAGATTGAAAGAAGAATAAATGATTTGGACTGATTACTAAAGTTGAGGGGGTGTCAGTGCAATAAAAAAATTGTAAGCACCAGATGTGCCATGCAACAGTTTTTTGGCAGATTTTGCAACGGCTAGCTGCAAATTGCAACGGCCAGATTTTTGCACATTCAGTAGCAATAGCATATAAAGCAAAGCAACTCAACTACCTCTGATTCAAGCTATTATCATTCTTTGCTGCTGATTTGGAGCGATAACAAAGTGAATTTGCTGTGCTGCAATTAGAGCTCTCAGCACATTGGCCATCCAGTCATGACAAAAACCAACTTCTTGGCCATCCAGTCAGATGTGGCCTCAGAACATTGGGGGCGCTTGCTGCCGGAGCAATTTACTACCATTTTTAGCTCTTCAAAATCCAAGTAAATTCTATTATGTCCAGATTCTTTTGAGCCTTTTTTTTTTCAGGCCAAAAAATTTTAGCAATAAGGAGAGATGGCGGCACAAAAGAGAATCGAAGCAATATTAGAGAGGCTGTTTCCGGAATCTCCGACCACCGCCACCACCAAATCCAAGCCTAATAATAGCAATAATAATCATCTATATAATAACGGCTCCTCTGCTTCCACCACCATCAGGTCTTCTTCTTCAGCTTTCCTCGTTAATTCTCTTTATATAACTCCTTCACAATTTTTTATCAACGGCTTCTCATTGCTCTTTTATGTACTCTTTTTTTTTTCTTTTGGTTGAAAGTGAACTTTAGCTGCTGAAGTTGTCACTTCGTTGTTTTCTCTGTTATTTAATTTTTCTTGTTTGGATTTCGAAGTTATTGTGAACTGAAATGTTGATGCATAAGCTATAAGGCTGAAATACTAGTTACTAATATTGTATGATTTTGGCTGATAACTGAAATGTTGATGCATAAGCTATAAAGCCGAAATATTAATTATTAATATTGTATAACTTTGGTTGAATTTTTTCTTGTTTGTAGAGTATGATACTGTGTTTGAGTGGTTAAAATAGAAGTTTCTACCTGAAATACCAAAATGTACCTTTAAAGGGAGTGTTTTGTGTGTGTTTGTTGTGTGCATATATGCATGTATTTCAAAAAAAAAATTTTTTTTTTTTGCTTCACCCTTGGTGTGTATCTGCCTATATCTACAAGAATTGGATAGCTCCGAGCAAGGAAACTGATCTTGCATTTCTTTTGTGTGCTTGTGTTTGTCAATAAGATTTGGAATGCTACAACCAGAGAGAGTGAAACTTGTTGCCAATGATTTTTTTTTTTGTTGACAATATTGGTTAAAACAGTAGTGCTGATGGAGTTCGGTGGTTGAAAGGCAAGAAACGGCCGAATGCATTCTCTGCATTGGGCATACTTGGTCCAAAATCAAGGTTAAATTCAACTGAGGAAATGCAGGTGTCATCAGGTTCAAGTGGTTCAGTACAAGCTCCATCTTGCAGACCATGGGACCGTGATGATCTATTTAGGAGGTTGTCTACTTTCAGGTCCATGACTTGGTTTGCTAAACCACAGGTACAAATCTCAGAGCCTGCTCTCTGCAATGGGAATTGTTTTTTTTTTTGGATGGTTGGTTCTAAATTGCAAGAATTAATTCTTTTCTTGTCAAACATCAATCATGGGCATTGGCTGTTAAAGTTTTGTCTAAATTTTCCTGATCCAATTTATAACTCCAATTCTAGTACACAAAATTTTTCGGATAGTTGAGAATTGATAAAACTTTCATGAGATATCCACAAGGAGATCAATGAGGCGTGGCAACATCTCACTGCTACAGCATAAACTAATCTTGCCTATTTTAATGAGATGCTAGAAGCTCCATAAGCTGATCCACTTTGCCATATACTTATAGCATCATTTGTCAAAATTGTTTCAACCTGGATGTTTGCCTTTAGTGGCCATTGTGGTGCTCATAACATCATAGATTCTGGCACCCATTTTTCTCCATATTCACAAAAACCAGAAATTTATATTTTGTAAAACTCCATCACTCCCACATCACCGATATATACACCACATTTAGAATCCACTATGGTTCATCTTTTCAAAGAGACTTGTCCAGAGTATAGTCCCTTGTGAGATATAAGTATCATGCTCATGATATTGAAATCGAGTTTCTTGGCTGCTATAAATCAGGTTTTCAGTTCTTATATTTTTTAGAAAAAAAAAATTTCTCTCCCATTTTTTCGTAAGCACTAAATGAGAGCCTAAGTTTCTCAGCGACATTAAGTATTCTATCATAATTGAAAGTGCAGACATGTATTGCCAGCCTTCATGCCAAGAGCTCAGGATGGAGAGGCTCACTAAAATTTTCCTCTATGGTATCGAAAAGCTCACTAAACTGCCGGCGAACTTTAAGGGGAACAGAAGATGGAAACACAGAAAGCATGTGCAGTCCCAAAGCATGCTTCTCTTAATTAATATTTCTGCCAAACTCTAAACCAAACTCTAAGGACAAATTGGTCATTTCAATGCTCTGCGTGTCAGCAATGGACTCCAATACTCTGCCAGGGGAGCCAGATGAAATTTTTAAAACCTGGAGGGGTCTCAGTGCAAGTGTCAGAAACCTCAGGGGAGGTTTGTGAAATTATCCCTTTAAAAAAAAGTTTCCAAACGTGCTGAGCGGAAGAAGAAGCAATGAAGAACTCAATCTATGGCTGAGCGACAGCCCGGCAGCAAGTCCAATTTAAAAAAAAAAAAAAAAAAGTTTCCAAACGTGCTGGGCGGAAGAAGAAGCAATGAAGAACTCAATCGTGTTTCCACTTCTTTTTGTGTCTCTTGTCTTGAGTCTCTTTATGGCCCCTTCTATAGGCCGGCAACCCAATCTAGTTCAACTATCTCTCATGCCCGTTTTAGCACTTAGCACTATGAAAAGGTGACACAACTACTAGTGAGCATTGACTAGTTCAGATTAATTGAAAAACTAATTCAGTGCAAAGTCCAAACAATTTCACAATTAATTATTGCTATTTATAATGCTTATTTAATTATTATAATGCTTATTGCTATTTTTAAATTTCATAATGGCACGTTGTGCATTTTTTTTTTCATTTTTTTGCCTTTTTGTTTTTATATTGCACAATAATTTATATTTATAAAATTATAGTGTACATTACAAATTACATAATAATTTTAACAAATAATTTTTCAACAATTTGATTACATATATCTTATTGTAAAATGAATATTTATTTGTTGTTTTCAAAAGCCTTTTTTTAGTTTAACATCCTATAGGAGTAATTATTGATTTAACAAATCTGTTTTCATCTTTTTCTTACGGTCCAATTATTCAACGTAATTTAATTAACTTAAAAGAATGTTGGGTTTAGCACGTCAGGTAGCATACCTTTTGTATGCCCTCCCATATTTTTTCTTCTTTTTTCCATTTTTCATTTTTAAATTGCAAAATAAATTTGTACATTTTTTTTATTTTTCTATATATTTTATAACAAAAAATTAATATCAAATCTTATACATTGTAATTTTAACGATTATTTTGTGACAATTTGAGAACTGTATCTGATTCTGATTGCAAATTGAATGAGACTTCTTGTTTACAAAACCTTTTTTTAACATAATATAAATCAAATAATTATTGTTTTAATAAATGTGTTTTCACCTTTTTCTTACGTTTCAACTTTGAAACGTCAATTAATTAACTAAAAAGATTGTCGGGTTTAGTACGTCAAGTGGCATAAGTTTTTAATTAAAAAAAAAGGGTGAAATTGTTGTAGTGAAAAATGGGTGAAATTTTCAACATTATTTAGTGAATTTTGTACATGTCAAAACAAATATTGTGGTAGATTTAATTTTTTTTAATTGAGTTTCATATTTGAAATAATTGAAGCGTAAATATAAAAGAAAGGGTTGGGATATCAAACATGATTAAAATAAAGGAACTTGTGCAATTTTGGTCCCCCCAACGTTTAGTATATGAGTTAAACTAATCTCTGATATTTGACCAAAATAACTATGATCCCAAATTTTTTATTTTAGCCAAATTTGGGACAACTAGTAGAAAACTATAATATCTAACGGTCAAAATCACGTTAGAATTAGTCAAAAGTTTGACTTCATATTTTTTTGGTTCCTTATGTTTTAAATAATTATGTTTCAAATGGAATAAAATGTGAATTAGATTAAATGCATAAAAAATGTGTTCTAAATCTCATTAAAATCCTTAAAAGTAATCCACATTGTCAAAACATATTAGCCTAAAGAGCATCTTTTCGTTAAATTAATTACCAACAAATGATAACACATAAATCATATATAAAAGAAAATTTAGCGGAAAAAAGAAATTTTAATTTGAGTATATAGTAATTTTAGTTGTAAATAATATAACACAAATCGTTATACGATTTGTGGATATGAGTTTCAATCGGTTATGATCAGCCATTATGATTATAATAACAAATAAATGTGATTACCAATATAAAGGACTCACATAAATTTTTAAAAATTTCTTGCCATTTCTTCTTGTCTTTCCTTCATATTAAACTAAATATTTCAATAATACAATTTAATGTATTTATATTTATGTTCATCTTAAATTGATAATTTTATTGAATAATTTAAATAATTATAAAATCTTTATTTCAATTGAAACTTAATTGACAATTACTTGAAATGCCAAAAAAAGAAAAAGAAAATATTATTCAATCAACTCAATGACATATAGTTGTTTATATTATAATAAAATATTTAATTAATTATTTTAATTTATCAAATATAAGTTTTGAAAAATCAACTGCAATTACTTAACAATCGTTTTGTTCGCGGACTGGTAAACAATATAACACAGGCATTGGCTACTTGCAGGTCTGGCATCACTGCATGAACATTTTTAAGGCTTTGCACTTGCTGGAAACCGTTTCAGTGCTTCATCAAAACATCTCGGATTCCCTTCAATTCCACATACAGCTTTAACTGGGAAACTGAAAGTTGTCGGGCAAAGATTGGGTTGCTGGCCTATAGAAGGGGCTATAAAGAGACTCAAGACAAGAGACAAAAAGAAGTGGAAACGCAATTGAGTTCTTCATGCCCCTTCTTCCGCCGCCCAGCATGGAAACTTTTTTTTTTAAAAAATTGGACTGGCCGCCGGACTGAGCTTTTTAAAGTTTGTGCAGATTCTGCCGGCTGAGTCGGTAGAATCTTTTTTTTTAAAAATTTTTGTTTTGTATTGCCGGACTGACAGTGTCAGACTTTAAAAAAGAAAATCTCTTTTGTCAGCCCAGCAGCCATAATTTAATACCTATCCTTTGTCAGATCTATACATGTCTGAAATTTTTTTTTCATCGATATTCTGAGTATTTAGTCAGATCTAATGAGGTATTTGTTTCCACTGACAAGTAAAAATTGTAAGAAATCAATTCCGTTCTTTTGAAAATAATTCTTTTTGTGAAAGACATGAATAAAACTATATAGAACTGTTGTAACTTGGAAATGAAATAGAATAAACGAGGAATTTTCTAAAGATTGGAAATATCCGAGAAGTTCATATCGGTTTTAATATTGCAAAAGGTAAGAAAAAATTTACTCAAAGCTTTTAAATTTCTGTCAATTGACTTCTCAATACTGACCACGATTTCAGACAAAGTAATATGGCGTAGCATGACGCAGGTTCATCCTCATTCGAGAAATGAAGGATTGAAGAACGAATCTATTCAAAATTTGTGTACAACAAATTCTTTGACCAACTAATGTGGCATGTTTTGCAGAGAAGTTTTAGGCCCAGTTTGGACAGCCTTTTTTTGTCGAAAAATTGCGTCGTTTTTCGTGATCACATTTCCCTATTATTTTTTTTCCTCACATACATCAAATGCTACAGTAATTTTTCTATAAAAAAATCCAAGAAAATACAATCCAAACAAGGATCCCCATTAAGTCTAAGCACAGGCCAGTTACCCAAATTATGAAAATGTGGTCTAGGGAAATTTCTTGATATCTCTTTCTAATGTCCTTCTGATCTATTAGAAAATGGAAACTACTTTGATGCCGGAATAAAAAGAAAAAGTGGTTAATGTCCCTTAACTATTGGTGTTTGGTTTAGTGAGTGTGTTTGAACAGTAGATTATTTGAGATAGTTTTTGAAAAAAATACAATAATACTTTTTGAATATAATATATGTAAATTAAAAAATAATTAAAAAATGTGCTGATTGAATAGAGTATTATTTGAAATAATTACTGTAGCACTTTTTGTGATGTGATGTATGTGAGATAAAAAAGTGATTGAAAATATAAAAACATGAATTAAAAATTATGTTTATAATATAAATAAAATATTATTTGGGATTAATTCACTATCCAAACAAAAAGAAATTTTTTATTTATTTGGCTTCTGATTTTCATCAAAGACTAAAAGAGAAATGCCATCGTGTAGTCAAAAGTAGTGGCTTTGTAAGATCAAAAACTTGATGAGCTAGAGAAGAGTCTTTTCAACTTACATGACATTTATGACAATGCCAGTCCCAGTCAGCAGTTGACCAGTCAAACTCTGGAAAAGTCCTTTCTTTCAATTTTTACCATAGATGAATTGGTCATCTAGTGAAACACAGGGTACAAACCTAAATGCACTGTAATAAAATCAAGGTAGATTACTCCCTCTAATCTTCCTTAGTACAGTTGCACCCTCACTTAGATAAGTTAAAAGTAAGAATGGGAGTAAGAGTATCGTAGAAGTTGACACGCACAAATTTTTTTAATTTTGAAATTTTCCTTAATTTTTTTTCTTGACATGTGTTTTTAAATTTTGGATAATTTGAAAAACAACAAATGCTCCCATCAAAACAAAGGAATCTTTTCATCATATGCACAAATAACACCTAGGGAAAATAACTAAGGCCTCATTTGGGATTGCGATGCTTTTGGTAAAAAAGTACTTTTATGTGCTAAAAATACTTTCAAAATATTTGGTGAATATCATTCTATAAAACTAGGAGTAAAGTTTTTGATGTTACAAGCACTTTTAGCAAAAGTTCAAATTTGATATTTTTAGAGTAACTTTTATGAATTAAAAAATAAAACATCAAATTGAATCATTTTATCCTATATTATGAACTAAATAAAGAGATAAACACTTATAAAAATTTTTAAATTACACATTATCTAATATAATAAATATTTATTGAATTATGTTTCTAAATAATATATTTAAAAGCATTTACCAGTTAATAAATACTTTTATTAAAAGCTTTATTATGGAAGTATTTTCAATAAGGCCCCGTTTGGATTGCATTTTTCTGGATTTTTTGTAGAAAAATTATTGTAACAATTTGATATATGTGAGGTAAAAAGATGATAGCGAAATATGTTCACAGAAAACGTAGTAATTTTTCTGAGGAAATTATCCCCTATTTCAACAGATGGTACAATAGAAGCAGGGTAGCCCTGCAGACGTTGCTCTGTAGGAACCGCGAAGAGTCATAATCCGGTTGTGGGAAAAA